ACAACACATAATTCTTAGTCAATTTTTTGAACAAATAGAAACATTCATTGATATAATAATCAAATTAAATCTAACAAAGAGTCATCAGAATAGAAAAACAATAAAATTGATCTTAATTGTTATTGAAAAATAGATTTAGTCGAAGAATTTTTTTTTAGTATCTATTTGTGATTTCGACGAGTTTTTAAATATATCTAATGTAAAAGTGAACACATATTATGTCTAATCAATCATCAAGTTTTACTAAGAAATAATCTCAATCTGGAAAAATATTTTTTTAAACACTGATTACAATAATTTTCAATTTAGTTGTATCACAAAATCTTTATATATCCTTTAGCTTTTCACGTAGTAGATACAATGTATTCGAGTTAACAAAAAATATCCTTTTGAGACAGTTTGTTATTGTATGTATTCATACTTGTTTATGTATCATGTATTTATTTGAATTGGTATAATTCAATTGATATATAGTCGACAGCTTGGTCTTGAATTAATGCTTGATTTTTGTTTATCATCAGCGAAGCCGAATTATGAACATTATTTAACGAACACATCAAATATTCTGAGTTTCTTTTTTTTGTCCAACGAAGATATTTAATAACTTCTCATGAAATTTGACAAGCACTAATTCAATATATTTACTGCAAACCAGAAAAATCTCGTTTATTCATGCTATATCTTGTTTTTTGAAATAATATATTTATTTCAATTTTTTCTGCTTTTCATTTATTTTGTTTATTGAGTATTGACTCTTCCAAATATTTATACTTACCAACACCAATATTCATTAAAACTTTAGTCTAAAGTAACGTTATAAAATAGTCATCAGAGACTGAAAACTAACCGAATCAAACTCAAACCAGTAAAGCTCGGTTCGATTGGATCTCTGGAGAGAATCGACGAGGAAGAGGAAGGTGCACTGGTGTCGTCGAAGTGGAACAACGGGAAAACGATTATTTCGAATGTTTTTTGTTACGATTTGGCGATGTAGTATGATGGGTTTCTTTATATGTCTGACTGAAAAAGTCACGAAATAAGACAATGGCGAATGTGGGAAATTGAAGAAATACTTAAGGCGCGTGACAATGGATCAGACCATCATATGAATCAGCTCGGTACTCTTCACTACATCTTCGTCGGATATGATCGTTCTGTGTACGTCTCACACTGGCAAAATCATCATATGATGAAATGGATGAAACACGCGAGAGAATGTATTATAGTGGTTGTTGGCCACAGTATAGGACCTACTTCGATACAACTATCATCTGTTGAGTAGGTATTTATTGATTACTTAGGATCAGTCTATGTTACTGACTGTAAGAATTATCGAATAATGTATTGTGGTCATTAGTGGAAATGACCACGAAAGGAAGTGAATCAACTTGATTATTTGATGAATTTGTCGCTCGATCTTGAAAGCAATCTTCACGTCGTGGTGTCCAACAATGATCGAGTACAAAAGTTTTGTTTTAATTAGAATTCGTTAAATTAGTAGTTAATTTTCAATTCAATGAATCCAATAAAAGAACAGATTGAGCGTGACTGTGTAAAGGTTAGTTGAAAAAGTTGATTATTGAAGGTTTATGTTATCGTCGTTAATGCCAATATATGTTTCTGTTAGAGAAGATCACACCATATTATCACTTGAATGTAACATTTGGTTTGAGAAAGTCTGTTTGAGTTGAATACAGCGAATATGAAGATGGTGAGAATCATCTTCGAAAACATTACTATCAAAAATATGTATTCTTGCCGCTGTGTTTCGAAGAGAAAACGTTTCACACAGAGCGATTCTTTAACAGAGATAAACTTGCAACTTGAACGAAAGCTAAAGGGTTATCGGCAAACTTCGCTGAAGAATAAGTGTGGCAAGTTGTGGATGATCAAGAATAGTTTTAAGATAAATATTATGCACATGCACATGACATGGTGCAAAGTTCTTTATCAGCTCAATATGAGTTTCATGAATAAGACGAGAAACTGTTTGTTTGTGCCTTGGATGAAACATGCTAGCTAACACTCGGTTACTAAGACGAAGTCACATTTGTACAAATAAAACTGCTAAAACAACATGAACGAATAGAACATTTGACATTCGTATAGTATTCATACAATCAATAATATCATTGAATTGGTCTAAATAATAGCTATTCAGTTAACTTTATTTTGGAAACTGGACTATCTTTTCGAATACCAATTAAGTTAAAATAAACCTCATCAGATAAACTTTTAGAATCATCAAAGTCGAACCATTCCAAGTTTGCTGCCACTGAACAACAACTAAACATCATATTCTGAGTTTGATTAGAATCAAGTGTAAGATGGTCAGATGTTAAGACTCCTGTCTTAAGTGAAAATTAAATACTGATTTTAGGTGATATAAACATAGTGAAAGAAAACAATTATGATAATGCAGCTGCATATTACGATGTTGCAGGACAAATTAAAATCTAGTTCAGTTTTAAATCGAACTAGGATAGATTGAAATTTTAATTATTCCTAGTTTAGATTAAAATTTCGAGGTCAACTAGTTGATTTCGAAATATATTTTAATCTCAACTAGTTAACTTCAAAATTTTGATCTGAACTAGCATACATTAAAATTTTTAGCCAAATTATTCGTGGCTGACTGGTTCAAGATACGTGTCGGGATGAGGACGAGAGTGTATGGTGAATGAGAATGAGTGAAGATGGAACTGTTATCCGCGTCCTCGCGCTCACCCTCACCCTTATCAACCGTCCATTCAAGTGTCTATATTTCAATCCGAACTAGTTCAAATCAAAATATGGTAATCTGTTCTGATTTAGATCAAAATATTTCAATCTGTCCTAGTTCGATTTAAAACTGAATTGGATTTCAATCTGTCCTACGACATATATATTTAACATGATAGTTGTTGAGAGAGCTAAGATCAATGTGAAACGGTGCTATTATTCATGCTAATGTTTCTCTGCAGGTCAAAATAGTTAATAAAAATCGATTGATCATTTGTGATCCATTTTTACTGGTAGATAATTATGAAAATATACATAAAACAAATTCTTGTACATACAGATTTTATGAATGCAAGTCTGAGATTTCTATGATGTTAAACTGAATAAGAATTCGATGATGTACTAGGCATAAAATAGTAACATTAAATATGAAGTTATATTCTTGATGTTTGTTTTAGTGGATGTGAATGTGAGTGAAGAAAAGGTCCATATCCATCTTCGCTATCTATGGGCATTATTATCAATTAGCTCAAATGTGTCAAAGCTGTTCAATCGATTTCGATTAACAATAACAACAACTACAAATCAATGTCAATATTGATCTTCAACAAAGTCATTTTCATCTATTGATTAATTCTGAACTAACTCTTGTCAATTGCGAATCATTGAAAATATGAATTGGATCGTTGAATTATGGTTTTTTTATCAAGTTTTTTTTTACGTAAATCAGTAGAAAAAAATACCTTTATATGTTTAAAATGTTATACACTATGTATGCAACAGTAAGGTAAAATAGAAAATATTCAATTATTTTTAGCTTTTTTTCTCTTTGTATAATCATCGATGTATATGAAAGAATGCTCAATGACTAATGACGAACTAATTGAAAATTTTCCCTTAAATGCTGCTGCTGGTCAATTTCTACCTGTTCTTCGTACCGAAATTGTTGAGTTAAATCGACAATCGAGCAATTGTATTCAATTATGAACATTATATTTCACTTTAACTCAAGCAGTGACGACTCTTGGAACAACAATTCATGCTATTCTCACTCGGATATAACAGTTGTCAATCGATATTTTAACTTTGTTTTTCACGGATGTTACATTATTATTATTCTTATGCACCAAAGAAAAACAATCAAATAACTTTATAATTTAGCGTATTACATAAACTAAACTATTCTTTCCCGAGTTTAATGTGATACGAGTGACAGGTGTCTTTTTTATGTAAAAGTAGATCTTGAAGCTAATAAATGGGTCTAAGATCAATTGATAGTTAATCCTCTAAAAAGATAGATGTAATTTACTGTTGTTGATTCTTATATATATTGTATTGAAATTATTTGGATTCGGATGTATTATCCAATATATATTAGTGTCTATCTTTTTGATAACTCTGTTTACAACTATTTCGCTGATCATAGTTCTTATTTTAAATATACACATCGTAAACTAGTGCATTTTTGCTGATGTAGAATTAATATAGTACTTCATCAAAATATGATCAATCGTCTGCATATTACAGACACATAGATCATCGAAAAGAATCAACAAAAATAAAATATCTTCAAGTTTTCGTAAAAGAAAAACCAAAAACCGACGATATATGGAAAAAATATCATAGTTCAGTTTCATAATGTTCAGAATTTCTACTCTGCGTATACGTTGTTTTTAATTCATGAAGTTCTTTTATCAAGTATCAGGCTCTTTCTGCTATTGAACAACTATAAGCATTTTATTATATTGATGGAAATTTTTGTAGAATATCAAATATATTGGTGATTAATAAAAATTATCGGTTTTTTAATAGTTGTTAAAAGTAAATTTTATTGTTTATGAATTGTTTAGAAGTAATCCATACGGTCTAATTGCTTTCTCATCAAACACCCGCCATGCCTCACCAATTTTGACAGGACTTGCGTGTAGCGTGAATTTTTCTGGTTGAACTCGGCATTGGAATACAACTTGGTAATCCTTGCTGTTGCCGCTAGAATCTTTTATGTTAAACGGCTTAGCATACTCGGCAGCTCCTCCATCACAATGTGTTGCGACATATAATCCTTTTACATCGGGAATCGATGGATTTTGCTGCTTTGCTTCAAATTTCATGAGATCAGTGATAACTAAATCCTGTAATAATCTTTGATCTGTAATACCTTTTACAGCTTTCAACACTGTTCCATGATAAGCAACAGCCCATTCACCTGGACCATTATTCATGCCAAGCCAAGCTGTATCATTCAGATATTTATCACTGACCTTAAGGGCTTGACGATATCATCCTTGTGGGAAATAATACGGATGACCACCTCTTATTTCTTCATTAGCATGCGGATAGTTGCGATTGTACCTAGAATCAAGATCGGATGGCTGCAATTCCAAAAATTTAGGTGCGGACTCAAGTGTATATTCGTCTTTTTCTGGAAATAGGCATTCCAAAATACTTGAAACTGGTGGTGTCGAAGTCTTGTTCGATTTATCTTCTAATGATGTAAATGATTTCTTTGATCCATTAAGTAGAAAACTTGGAGTTTTTGCCATCGGAATTTTGATTAGCCTCCCTTTGACCGTATCAGTAATTTCTATTGTTTGATTAACATTAGGTGTAGTGATACCGATTTCAACGATAAGTGATGAAGCTGCTTTCACAGCACATACTCGAATAAAATCTTTATCACATTCTGCAATATGGCACATATCGTTAATAACACTTAAGACAAAGTTTCGTAATGCCTCAGGTGATCGTGTCGTATTCTTATAGTCAAGATCGAAATGAAGGTTGAATTTGGCAGTTTGAAAGTTTCTTTCAGAAGCAAGGAATGAATGAATACTACCAAGATTGGTTACTTTGCAAGCAGTTCGATAATCTCGATCATTGTATTTAACGTTTGCTGATGTAAAAGTCAGTTGAGCACCAAGTTGATGAGCAAGTTTGTTCAGAACTACTACAAGTGTTTCAGTATTTCCCACATCAGGTAAAAATGGTTCAACAACAAAATCAACATTGTCGGTATTCTTGACTATGAATCGATACATAGACAAGCGTTCGTATGTACTGACATCCGCTGGAGAATTTTTGTTATAATTATTAGAAAAATGGATTTTTTCCATAAGTATAGGTTTCACTGGTTGGAACCATGCGGATGATACATTAACAGTAGCTTTTTCATTAGTGATTTGACTAGGTGTAACAATAGGCATAGGTTTGCTAATAACTTTTGTAGGTATACGAGCGATTGGTTGCGACGGTGCCTTTAGATCTAAAAATGTTTGTAGATTATTACAACATGCTATACAAGTACAATCTATAAGAGTGAAATATTGATGTTGCTGCGTATTCTATAGATGAAAGAATTCAGTAATGTCTTGTAGTTGATGAGTTACTATACATATTATGAATGTACCTTCTTGATGAAAGAAACTGCCAGTTTTGGCATTTTGCAATAAGTTTGAATAGAAGGCAAAAGGACAAATGTGAACCTCTTTTTTTAACTTAATTAGTTGCAAGAGATACCTTACAAATAGATGAATCTTCAGTAGTTCTCGATGTCTATTCCGTATTTTCGACATTCACCCAATCATTAAATTGTCTTCATAAAGAGAATAACGAAAAAATCTGGAACATATTTTTTATGGCATGTAAAAATTTATTTATTTGATATAGAGAATAATTGATTTACATGAATAGTAACATGTCTAATGACTTTATGACTCTAGTCACTAAGTCTAGATATGTTGTTTGACATTGTTTCTATTCAATGAAATGTGAATCAATATTATCGAATGCATCTATATTGTAAAAGAAGAAGAGTGCTTCACCTTTTGACTATCTTTCAATGTAGAGTGCTGCTCGGAGACAGTTTCAAAAATCCAATATTTTTCCTACAACTACTACTAACTGCAATTCTAGACAGAAGGTCGATCGGACTCAGAGTTCTTCTGCTCAATCACTCGAATTTCCTATAGACACTGATTAACCACATACTAGAGACAAGGGACGGTGTGTGCCACAACATAATTAGTGGGCTATTGTACGTGTAATCCAAAACAAACAGCTGTTAGTAACTTGTTCATGATCATTTCATATCTGATGACTCCAAGGCTCGAACACAATAGCTTAGTAATACTGTTAAACAACTAATTCAGTTACTTGTAGTGACTGCATCTATATTGATGTCATCATCTTCCATCATGATCTTCTTCTTTTTAGTCTGCTTCCTCGTATTGATCTGTACTCTTATATGATTTATAGATACTTCTAATAGAGAATCATCATGAATGAACATATTGAAGTATTTATAAGCGCAAAAAAACAGTTTTTTTTGACCATTTCAATATATGCAGCTTCTTGTTCATCTTCAGGATTATCATCATTCTCATCAGAATCAATATCAATTTCTTCTGTAACTAACTGAAGAAGAACAATTGAATGAAACGCTATTGACCAATGATAGCTAGTATGTTTGAGGGTATAATAGACCCGTAACATTATGAGAAATACTTAATAGTACAATATAAAAATCAAAATGAGACCAAGCACACCTATACACAAAATGATTAATTATGTCTTTTTTTCAATAAGCAGTTGTTACTCTTTAAAATAGGGTTAGCTATAGCTAGTGCTCACCTCTATATGAGTATAGCCGCATTATATAATAAATATTTTTTATTGTTTGCAAATATTAGAAAATAGGCAAAAAATACCAAAAATGAAAAAAATCAAGTTTTCATCCTGAATTTCATGCCAGAGTGCTATGAATTCTTACAAAGAATAATTTCAAGAATGTAAATCACAAAAAAGTTTAAAAATAACTAATTCTATACAACTAACAAAACCATATACTAGCCAATGATATCACTAGCATTACTTGCAGCTGTATCACCTATAAAAGTAGTTCCTTGTATTCTGAATTGATATTTTTTTTTCATAAGATTTGGAATATTCACAGATAATGTTGTATCTTTAGTAGTTAATAATAACTTCCATTTATAATTTGAAGTATTTCTACTATAAATCTTATACTGTTCAATACTTTGACTTCCGTGGATAGGTTTTGACCAATGAAGTGTTAAACTATGATCTGAAACATTTGTTGTATGTAGTTGTTCTGGTCTACTTGGAATTTTAAAATTGATAGGAATACCATTTTGATAAAGAATAGATGTTACTCCTTTATTCATTTGAAATTCATCAGCATATTCTTCATTAACAATAAATTCAATATTTGGTTTAGAATAATTGAAACGAGCAAATTCAATAAACAATGAAATTTGATTTTGAATTAATGACAAATTATTTTCATTAAACCAATAATCTTGATTTGTATTTTGATTTATTGGTTTTGTTATGTCATTATTAAAATATTGAAATATTTCATTTAAAAATGAATCTTTCTTTTCTGTAACATGAATTATTAAACGAAGAATAAATTTAGATTTAAATTGATTTTGAACTTCAGCAAATGAACATGATAATTGATGAATATTATCTTGTTTTCTTAAATCATTTCGAAAATCCTTAAATATATTTATTTCATCTGTTTTAAATTGAATCCAATCGTTTAATCTTTGTTGATTAGATGACGATAAATCAAGATCTTTTAATAGATCATTAAGAGCTATTTCATTCATAGAACCACTACGAATTTTAGGTAATAATTGCATCAAATGATTTCTTAGATGATTTTCAATTTCAGATAATTGAGTAAAATATATTAACAATTGTTGTTCAGTTCGAGAGAATATTTGCATAGATGATAAGCTAATTTTTAAATTATTAAAAGTTACTTTTAATCGATATAAATTATTGAAAAGTTCTAAAATTTTAATAAGCATATCATTACTAATTTCGTAAAAATTTTTCTTTGCTAACTGAAATTCATCTAATAAATAAAGTGGATACATCCATACTTGTTTTGGTATTGTATTATCAGTATTTTGATGAATAAGTTTTGATAATTCTTGATACAATTTAACTATTTCTTCGAATGTTGTTGGATTTGTTTGGATTTGAAAATCACTATAACATTGGCATGTTAATGTTTCAGCTAGTTTTTTCTCATGATTTTTCCAATCTAATTCACCATTATCGAGTATTTGAAATGTTTCAATTTTTTTCAAAAATAATTTGATACTATTTTCAATATTTTTACGATTTTCATCAACAGATAATGTTCGATCAAATACAAAAAATATTTCACCACCATAAAGAATATCAGTAACAACATGAGTAGCAATTTGTTGATCCAATATTTCTTTATATTTTGTATAATTTTTATTGATACAAGTCATTGTTAATGCATGAATTCGTTTTTTTATTGAATATTTTAAAATAAATCGTAGAACATGATTTTTTTTCTCTTGATTATCGATTAATTTTGCTGAATCAGATAATTGAACAAGATTAGCTAGAACACTCAATTTAAGATTGTTATCAATTCCTAATAGATCTGCATTTTCTGTAAACGAATCTGTTATATAAAGTTCACACTTGTTCCATGATAAAGGCTGACAATTAATATATTCTGATGATGGATTCGAATTCCACAATGATGTATCAGAAATAAGTTGATCGGTTCTATAGTCATAAAGCATGCCAAGTTTGAATGGACGACCAAGTGCCATTATTTTTAAAGTTGAATTATTTTCAGTTGACATTTTTTAAATTTATTAATCACTATTTTGCACTCATTAATTATAGAATCAAAAATATTTAATATTTTGTATATTGAAAAAATTCGACTTACCTATTGAAATTCTTTATTCAAGGAGAATGTGGTAACAAATAACAAATATAACTATTTTTCAAAGTCTCTTTAAAGAACATAGATAAGAATATATTTTGTGAAGGTTAAATTTCAGAAAAAAGAAGAAGAAGGGAAGAGCAAGCAACGAAAAGACATTTTCAGTTAGTATTTGATTAACTTTTTGAGATGTATGACAAGACACAAAGACATTGTTTCTTGATAATAACTAGCGAATCTGTTTTATGAAACAGTATTATTTGTTTTTGCTTTTTTTTTTCAATATCGATAACTGTAATGACTAATATAAGTTTTTCTTACGTCATTTTATATTGCACACATATTAGAAATGATCCATGTTTATGATGCTAAGCGGAAGTAAATAGAAAATTTTCTGGATCGATTTATCAGCTGCAAAAAAGTCAAAATCTTATAGTGAAATGTTTTCAACTGTTGCACGTCAGTAAACTCGATGAAACAAATCATAACATATATTTCACCTTGACTCAAACAACAGTCAGGTATGCTGCAGTACTGATAAGAACTGTCTGTGTACGAGCAGTAGATTACTAGTCAAAAAATAACATCAGTATCTTGCAATAGAATGGCGGTCAGAAGATAGCCCACCATTTAAGTAGTAAACTACTGTCAATTGAATTTTTGAGCTGAGACAAACTACTTGGCACAAGATTAAATTATGCAAGTTTTATGTGAAGTTCTGAATGCGGTTGTGGGTCTGATTCTGAGTCTGGATAGAAATCTTTTCTTTAGTAACGCTCACACCTCACACCTTTATAAATCCAATAAACCATCTGATGACGCTCTAGTGAAGTAGAAACACTTATGACGCATTGTTATTTCTGCTGGCTCAAATCTTCGCTCAAAAAAACAAAATTCGCCACATATGAGAAAAATTTCAAAGCGAGTGCGTTTATTTTCTTTCTTCTTGGCTTGTCATGGCTTTTATAATAGCAAAGCGAATATATTTAGTATACAGTTTCATTGAGTGAATTTTGCTTTATCTTTTAACTTAGTTTCAAGAAATATTTCGTCATGAAATCCTACGAGAATTTGTCAATCATTCTATAGAGACTTTAAAACTTTGGCGTTGATTATTTTCTATAAAGTATTTTCAAAATACACAATCATACATAGAAAATGTGTGTCAATTTTATTAAAAATCTCTGCATGAAAGCGTCGATTATGTAATATATTTCGATAAGAATTCTATTCAAAAATTTTTGTCTGTTGAATAGACTTTTGCAAAAAACTTTATGTTCGAACAGATTTTTTTCTTGTCTGATGAAATTTAAATCAATTATTAACCTTGAAGTATCGTGTGTATCATTATTATTACTAATATAGACTCATTTCATTTTTAACGCATTTGATAATACTTCGAAATGATATTGATTGTTAAATTGCTAATAAATGAAAACCCAATAAATATTTGAAAGA